CAAAAAAAAAAAAAAAAAGATATATTACTGGAAGGTACATCAATGAATGCTATTCTTTAGGTGTCTAAAGGAAGTAAAATATAACTCTACTACGTGGCAGAAAGTTTTAAGGTCTATAAAAGGATGTGAATGGCCTGGCCCAGTGAATCATGCCTATAATCCAAGCACTTTGGGAGGTCAAGGTGGAAGGATCACTTGAGGCCTGGAGTTCGAGACCAGCTTGGCCAATGTGGTGAAACCCCCATCTCTACTAAAAATACAAAAAAAGAAAAAATTTAGCCAGGCCTGGTAGCACACACTTGTAATTTCAGCTACTCAGAAGGCTGAGGTGGGAGAATCGCTTGAGTCCGTGAGGTTGAGGCTGCAATGAGCTGTGATCATGCCACTGTACTCCAGCTTGGGTGACAGACAGACTGAGACTCTGTCTCTAAATAATAAAAGGAGCCAGGCGCAGTAGGTCACGCTTATAATCCCAACACTTTGGGAGGCCGAGGTGGGTGGACCACGAGGTCAAGAGATCAAGACCATCCTGGCCAACACGATGAAACCCCATCTCTATTAATAATACAAAAATTAGCCAGGCGTAGTGGCATGCACCTGTAGTCCCAGCTACTTGAGAGGCTGTGGCAGGAGAATCACTTGAAACCAGGAGGTGGAGGTTGCAGTGACCCAAGATGGTGCCATTGCACTCCAGCCTGAGCAAAAGAACAAGACTCCGTCTCAAAAAAAAAATAAAAGGATGTGAGTAGCACGCATGCCTTAGAGGTTGGGAGGGAGGAAAGGCTGTTTCCTACTGGGGAAATCAGAAAAGGTTTCAAGAAGGAGGTAACATCTGAACTGGGATTTAAAAGCTTACAGAATGTAGGCCCAGAATGATTGGAGAGCAAGAAGAGCAATCCAGGGAGAAACGGCACAGAGCAAAGAGTGGGAATTTATTGGGAATGTTTCAGTAATCATTGAGTGGTTAAATGATGATCAAAGATGATCCTTGTTTTTAAGATGATCAAAGTTCTTAAGAACTAGGACCACAGGCCCAATGCCTTACACATGAGTTTTTTCCAGAATTACATTATCCTTGCACACACATCATTCGTCTGTGTAGAGCACACTGAGGAGTACTTACTTACATTTGAGTACTGTATTTTGACCAAGGAAAGGGGATAGAGTAATGGTGGTGACAGATGGAATTGCACAGAGGGAAGATGGGTTGAGGCAAGGAGAAAGGAGGTACAGGATTGGTCACATGGTTAGGTCCAGGCTAGGGAGAGAGGTGCCCTTTCTCCCTCCCTCCCCCTCCCATCAGGGCAGAAAGGAGAGCAGGTGAAGTGAGCCGCAGGCAGGGTTGTTAATGAAAGTGTGTCCCTGGGAGGCCTCTCACCTTGCAGTTGACCAGAAGAGCTGGACTCTCTGTCTTGCTGGTCTTGTTCCTGCTCTCCTGGCCATGAATCAAGGCCTGCACCCGGGGAGACTCCCCCTGAAGCCGATTCGGGTTTCCCTCCACCAGGCGTCTTTGGATCACACTGTGTGGCTGCTGGCTCCATCACAAAACAATGAAGGTAGGCAGTTCTAAACCCAGGTATCCAGGCTGCTCAGTTACCCCACTTAGATACCCCAGGATGCGCTGGGCACGGTGGCTCACACCTATAATCCTAGCACTTTGGGAGGCTGAGGTGGGTGGATCACTGGAGGTCAGGAGTTCAAGACCAGCCTAGCCATTATGGTGAAACCCCATCTTTGAAAAAAAATTTAAAAAAAGGTATCTCAGGATGCTCCCCCAACCCCACCCTAGACCTGAGCTTTACCCTAGGAGCTTACCTTAGGGTGTCAGCAGTCAGGTAATGAGCACAGAGTAAGTCCCAGTATCAAATCATGCCATTTTTCTGGGACACCAATAGATTGCTTGGCAGTGAAGAATTGGGAAGAGGAGAATGGTCCTGAGTTAAACTTAGAGGAGAATGGTCTCTAAGTTAAACTGACTTAGTGGCCAAAGGGACATTTCAGGAACTAGTATGCTTAGGGGAAATTTTGTCTCAAATTTACATTTTTTTTTAACTAGGAGGTTTTTTTTTTCCTTCCCCTCTGATCTTATCCTTCAATGGGCTACAGATCCCAGGGTTGGTGGTGTGATGAAAAGAAGTAAGAAATTGAAGAACTAGGCCGGGCGCAGTGGCTCACGCCTGCAATCCCAGCACTTTGGGAGGCCAAGGTGGGTGGATCACTTGAGGTCAGGAGTTCGAGACCAGCCTGGCCAACATGGTGAAACCCCCCTTCTACTAAAAATACAGAAATTAGCTGGGCATGGTGATGCGTGCCTATAGGCCCCGCTACTTGGGAGGCTGAAGTGGTATGATCACTTGAACCTGGAAGGCAGAGGTTGCAGTGAGCCAAGATCACACTACCGCGCTCCAGTCTGGGTGACAGAGCAAGACTCTGTCTCAGAAAAAAAAAAATTCTTAAGAACTGATGCTGGGAGTCATCTTTGACCTGTCCCTCATCTGCAACTACTCCCGTTCCATCTAATCACTTCCCAAATTCTGCAAGTTTTGCCTTTTGTCTAGAATCAATCTGCCCCTCCTTTCTTTCTCTCTCTTCTTCTTTCTTTTCTTTTGTCTTCTTTTCTTTCAAGGCGGGATCTTGCTGTGCTGCCCAGACTGGGCTCTAATTCCTTGGCTCAAGGCATTCTCCAGCCTCAGCCTCCTGAGCAGCTGGGACCATAGGTGTATACTACACCGCCTGCCTTCCATCCTTCCTTTCTGTTACTGCCTGCATTCTAGACTGCCCACAGCTCTCATGGATGCCTGGAACACCTTCCTAATTTCATAAGAATCTGCCTCCAGTTCTGTTGCCTTTCAAATACATCTACTTGGAGCTTCAGACTGGAAGCAAGCTAAAAACCTTGCTACTCTAAACCATGGTCCTCGGATCAGCAACTTGAACATGATTTCAAAGTTTCTTTAAAATGTAGACTCTCATACCTACTGAATCAGATGTTTCATTGTGACAAGATCCCCAGGTGATTCATGTGCAGCATGTGCAGGTTAAAGTTTGAGAAGCACCGAAGTAAAACATAAAACTAACCAATTACTCCTTTTTTTTTTTTTTTTTTTTTTTTTTTGAGATGGAGTCTTGCTCTGTCGCCCAGGCTGGAGTGCAGTGGCACAATCTCAGCTGGCTGCAACCTCTACCTCCTGGGTTCAAGCAATTCTCCCACCTTGGCCTCCCGAGTAACTGGGATTACAGGCACCTGCCACCACACCCAGCTAATTTTTGTATTTTTAGTAGAGACAGGGTTTCACCATGTTGGTCAGGCTGGTCTTGAACTCCTGATCTCAGGTGATTCACCTGCCTCAGCCTCCCAAAGTTTTGGGTTACAGGTGTGAGCCATCGCGCCTGGCATACTTCCTTGTTTAAAATGCATCAAAGACCCCCTCCACCCCCCCACAACCCTACCCTGCATTGCTTACATGCTAGAGCCCAAGCTTTTGAAGGGGAGGCACAGCCCAGAGTTTGTATCTTAAGTTTGGGATTCCGTGTACATCCTATAATTAATGCAGGAGGTACCTCCTCCAGGATACCCTGTCTGAGCTCTTCATGCTCCTCTCCTCATACATCCCAGGCTGGGATCCCTCGCCTTAGCTCCCTGTGCCCTGCTTACAAATGTTATGTATGGATTTTGCTCCCCCATTAGCCTGGAGAGTCCTTGAGTATCTCACTCATCTTTATAACCCAGGGCACGGCTCAGCATCTAGTAGGCACTCAATAAATGGTTGCTGCAGACTGACTTCTCCCCTAGGCTCTACGCACCCCTCCACCTGCCCTCTCTCCTTGGGAGCCTGGGATTGTTTTTCTTCCCTTAGATGAATGAGGCCCTTGGGGTTGCTCCTGGCAGCAAAACTGGCAGCAGGAGACCCAGTGCTGGGAAAAGTGCAGCGAGTTCTGGGCCTGGCTGGAGAGACTGGCTCTGCATTTCCCATCTTCACCTTCCCACGATGGACACAGGCTTCAGACCTCTCCCACTGTTGTGCAGTTGGCTCCACAGCCAACCCAGGGAGGGACACAATAGGGTCTCCGCTACCTGTTGCGCCTTCCCTCCCAAAGCCACAGGAGGTAACTGCTAGAGATCAGCTGGGGAGATCCTAGGCAGAGGGGAGAGGTGAAAAGCCCAGGGCTTTCTCATCAGAAGGCAGGACCTGCCACTCTGGGCTGGCAATGTCTGTAGAGCACATTCTCCTGGGCCAAACAGAGGTAGGCCGTTCCCTAGTAGGTTCTAGCCATTGAGAGCCAAAGAACTTGCTTCCCGGCTCCATCCCTGTTTTTCAGCTGTGCTTGCTGCCCCTGCAAGGAGGAATCAGCCCCTGGCCGTTCCCTGAATTGAAGTCTCAGTGCAATCTTTTTTCCTCCCTGGGAGCTAGGGAGTGGCCAGGCCTGTGGGCTGGGGTCCTGCTGGGGGCAACCCAGGCTGAGAGGAGTCTGGAAAGGTAGAGCTAGGTCAGGAAAGGTAATGAGGCGTTGCATTGGCCTTCGGGTTCCCGGGGAGAGGCAGCTGGTGGAGTACAGGCGTGCAGACATGCTTCCAACATCTCAGGCAGGCCTGGCTGAGTACCTCTTCTCAGACTAGGAGAAGGGTCAGGGAACCAAGTGCTGTGAAGCCTTTCCACAAAGGACTTCCTCTCTTCTATGGGTCAGAGGCCAGGTACATTTACCAGACTAAATGCGACAGTAGCTGGGGGAAAGTGCTAGCATTGAGGTAGTGCCTGCTGTTAGGCACTGTTCTAAGCGCTTTATGTATATTAGCTCTAACAACTCCCAACGGTCCTATGAGGGAGATACTGTTAATGTAGAAACTGAGGCACGGAGACGTAAGGTCAATTGCCCAAGGTAGTAAGTGGCAGAGCCAGGATCTGATCCCAAGCCAAGTGGCTTCGCAGCCCCGCTGGTCAGCACTGCCTCAGAATGTGCAGTTGTCCCCCGCCCACTCACCTCCTCACTGTTACTCCCCTGCCCCATTCCTCTGAGGCCAAAGCTGCTGCAGACAGATGGGAGAGGAGCGTGGAAGGTCCATTCCACTTAGGAGTGGGGGAGCAGCCCTTGAGGCGGCCAGGGGCCCCTGGCAAGAGCCACACAAAAGCCTGATGCCCTGGGAAGGATGGAGGACCCCACCCCCCACCCCTGCCAATGCTTTGATTCTGAAGAAAAACGGCAAATGAATGGACAGACCTGGTAGAGGAAATCTGTGGTTCGGGAGGAGCAGGAAGTCACAACCCTAAACTGGCCAGTCCTCCAGGTCCTCCTGGTTTTCAGTGAACACTCTAGAGGGCTCCTGTATTCCCGTAAGCCCCCACTCCCAAACAGCCTAGCTCCTCACCATCCTCAAGTTTTGGGCCACGAGAGGAAAATGTCGAGGAAGCTGAGCAATGAGGGTAGGACCCCTCAGAGCCACTGAACCATGGGAACGTTCCCAGTGAAGAGCCTCGAGTTGGCAGGATGACCTCTCCCCGTCGCAGCAAGGGAGCGAGACCTGAACGCGGAGGGTCTGCGCTTTATGTCCTGCCACTCCCGCTCAGGGTCTGGGAAGTGGAAGGAAAGGGCCAGGGGACGCTGGTGGGGGAGGGGGTGCCTCACCAAGTCCTTGGAGGTGCCCAGCCTCTTGAGGGAGTCCAGCGGGAGCAGGTCGGCTGAGTCCTTGTGCAGGAACTGAGTGGCCTGTCTGAGTCGGCGCTGCTGGCCCAGGTGGGCTCGGTCCCGAAGCTGTGCCTCCTGTCCCCTGGTCCTGGCTTCTCCCTCATCTCCCCTGGCCTCCTGCTTGGTGCTCATGGCCCCTGCCGGAGGAGGGGGCCTGGGGCTGCTCGGGGGGGCCTCACCCGAGTCCTCTCTGCTTCTTCCTGCCTGTCTCTGTCCAGTCCAGGGCCGGCAGCGAGAGGAGACTCCCAACAGGAGGGTCTCCGCGGGAGGGAAAGGGGAGAAATAACGTGCGGGAGCAGCCGCGTCAGTCTTTAATTTCCCGAGATTGCTGTAGAGGGAGTGAGACTCCGGCTGGAAAAACCCAGTCCTAGAAGAGAGGGAGGGTTGGCAGGGCCCACAGCTGGCAGACTTGGCCACGTCCCCAACGCTGGGGGTCCTGGTCAGAGCAGGCGGTGGACGGGGTGTGTGTGTGTGTGTGTGTGTGTGTGTGTGTGCATGCGTGTGTGCGTGTGTGTGAGAGACAGTGCTGTAAACTGTCAGGGTGCCCGTGCCAGGTGGTTTGCAAGGAAGCGCCTGTCACTGTGTGGGGGCGGCAGCCGTAGTGCACCTCCCTGCCTGTGTGGCCCCAGCCCTTCTCTGCATCCCTCCCAGGCTCCCCAGGGCTGCCCAGCTGTTTCCTCTGCCTGACCTTCTCTGCAGCCCAGGGTGCAGGCCAGTAACTGGATTCAGATCAGAGAGAGGCAGCATGAGAGTGTCCTTCCCTGTTTCATCCCGCTAGCTTTACCTTACAGGGTCTCTTCCCTCCTGCCTAGCAGATGTCAGAGTCTAGCAAATTTTCTCTGGATTCTGGGTTCCAGGGTATGGCAGGAACAGCTCTGAATCTTCTCATGAGTAGGAATTGTCCCCTGGTATCTCAGTTTCCTTTATATGACTCTCCTCAAGTCCGGGCTCTTTAAAAAATATTATATTCTGACCTGGCGCGGTGGCTCACACCTGTAATCCCAGCACTGTGGGAGGCCAAGGTGGGCGTATCACGAGGTCAGGAGATTGAGACCATCCTGGCCAACATGGTGAAACCCTGTCTCTACTAAAAAATACAAAAATTAGCTGGCTGTGGTGGCACATGCTTGTAGTCCCAGCTACTTGGGAGGCTGAAGGCAGGAGAATTGCTTGAACCCGGGAGGCGGAGGTTGCAGTGAGCCGAGATCACGCCACTGCACTCCAGCCTGGCGCCTGGCAACAGAGCAAGACTCTGTCTCAAAAAAAAAAAAAAAAAAGAAAGAAAAAGTTATATTTCAAACATACAGAAGTTATAAAGAGTAAGATAACCAGTACTCTTTACTCATCACCAGTTTAAAAAATCAGCTGCTCACTGTTTACAATAGCAAAGACCTGGAACCAACCCAAATGACCATCAGTGATAGACTGGACAGGGAAAATGTGGCACATATACACCATGGAATATTATGCAGCCATCAAAAACGATGAGTTCATGTCTTTTTTTAGGGGCATGGATGAACCTGGAAACCATCAGTCTCAGCAAACTGACACAAGACCAGAAAATCAAACACTGCAGGTTCTCACTCATAGGCGGGTGTTGAACACTGAGAACACATGGACACAGGCAGGGG